ACTGTGACCACACTGCCAAGAATAACACACACACACACACACACACACACAGAGAGAGAGAGACATGTGCTCTCCCACGTACATATACACACAAGTGAACGCTTAGGCTCACAAACACACAGCTGAATGACATCACTGTGCTTTTTGTTTTATGGAGGCGTAATGACAGAGCTTCATGCCTCTCGCCATCCACCTCTTTCTCCCTCTGTTTTTCTCTCCCTCTCTTTCTCACATACACATAAACAGACAAACATCTGGTCTCCATTACAAAATAAAGTATGTGCATAGTTCTGGCATTTAGTGGTTTTATCACATGACCAGCGTGGCTCTCTATGGATTTCTGCCTGAGTACTGCAATGTAGAAGAGCAGGTGGCTAGCAACCCTGTATGTGTGTGTGTGTGTGTGCACGCACGTGCCTGTATGCTTTTGTGGGTGTGTATTTCTGTGTACTTTTATCCTCGTGAGCAGCAAATGTCCTCATACAAATTAAAGGCTGAAAAATGGTCCAAACTCAGGACATCACAGCCAGTTTTCTTTCTACGAAGGAGTTTGTTCAGAGTTAGGGCCTCAAGTTAAACTTAGATTATTCACAGTACTTTCTATTTTTCCCCAATTTTTAGCAGCGTGGTTTGAGTTTTGGACCTCAGCCTGTCAGATTGCCCCATTCTCCTTGTGTTTTAGTCAGACCAATGATGTGCAAGTGAGGTGAATTAAAAAAACATACTAGTTTATAATACATACTATAATCTACTGTATCTCTGTGAAAGACAAGGCAATCTCTCTGGAGTGTGTCTCTGCTCTTTACCAGCCTTTACCACTGTTGTGCTTAAGCCTTTAAGACGTAAGCAAAACACTGTGTCAAGAAATTGCATTTTGCATTACTCAGTATATAAAAACAGATATTACAGTAATGTAATTTGGCACATAAACAATCCAGTAGTTTGGCTACACCTTGATTAAACCATGCAGGGATCAACTGTCTTTGAAAGTGCATTTGTTTTTATAATAGTGTTAATTGCCTATTATAAACATACCCTGTCTTCATACAGTAGCAGGTGAACCAGACAGACTTAGAGACAAATTATTTTGATACCAATTTTCATTTCAGAAATTTAGTAACAGTCCAACTCCCAAAGTATTGGCTTGTTCCCTCTGGTGAGCTAGTGATGACTGATGGATGAACTCATTAAAAGGCTCTCACAGTTATACTAACACACACGTGTTTGTGTCTGTTTTAGTTCACAGTCCTCCTGCGGGAAGCCCAGAGCGTCCCGCAGTGGCCATCTCCCCCCTGCGCCCTCAGAGTTCCTCCCCCTCACGCTGCCCCGGCCAATCGGGTCGTCCTCTCTCCATGGTGTCTCCGGGACCCAGCTTAGGACCTTCACCCCTCTCCTCTCCAGCCTCGCGGCCCCTCCTGCCCCTCTCCTCCCCTCTCTCCTGCCTCACGCCTCCTAACGTGTCAGCAGTGCTCCTCAACGGGGAGCCAGCCAGTCCCCTGCAGCCGCCATTGCCGGGCCCCTCCCACGCCCCCAGCCAGGGTGCCCTCGTACCCAAAGCAGAGAAGGTGAGCCTCATCCTTACAATAGAAAAAAACTACAAAGCACATCTATCAATGGCTTGTTTTAAGATTTTTATTATATCATACTGTGAAAAACCCACTGTGGAAATAGATACTACTTTTTGACTAATATAATAATTGGATTTCTTGTTATTACAATGCAGCTCCTATTATTTTCTCCACATGAATAATCAAGAGCTGAATGCATTAACTTTATACTTGCTTTTGGAATTATGAAAAATCACTTTCCCAAGTACATCAAGACAGATTGTGCAAAATCTGGTTCTCCGAAAATGAAAATCCCAACTTTTGATGTTAAAATAAGTCCTTGAATACTGATTGAGGCTACATGTTGTAGTATTTATGGAAAGTATTTTCATATAATGACCAACTTAGACAAAATAAACCATACTGTGCATATCAATTACAGGTGAAGAAGACAGCAACAACAACAACAGCATTCTGGCTAGGGCTGCAACTAACAATTGATTTCATCACAGATAAATCTGCTTATTATTTTTTTGATTAATCTGTTAATCAGTTGATCTTATAAGATGTCAGAAAACAGTAAAAAGTATCTGTTACAATTTTCTAAAGCCCAACCTGACGTCTTCAAATAGCTGACATTGTATTGATTTACTACCACATAAGACAAAGAAAACTCCTCACAACTGAGAACTATTGAACATTTGCCATTTTGGATTTACAATTTAGTATAAACAATCAATCAATCAATGATCACAATTACTGCAAATTCCTTTTCTGTCAATTGAAAAATTGATTAATCGAGTATATGAATGTGTCCACATCTCCATTAAGGGAACACAATCCCTCTTGCCACACAGATAATAAGTAACATTTCCACTTCCTTTGATTGCAGAAGTTTTAGTCATCCTGTAAATAAAACTCATGGTTTATATATATTTTGTGTCTGTATGTGTGCGTGTGTGTAGTCCTCTCATACCACAGTGAGTGTCATTCACCCAGGCGGCTGGCACAGATGCTGAATGCCATCCTATATGTTGTGAGATCTGCAGTGTTAAAGCTTTGGATGTTAAATCGGGCTGAGCTGACAGTGAAGGATGGCACTGAAAGCTTGCATCTGTCTCAGCTCGATTTGTTTCACTGTTGGCTCCACTGTCTGGGACAGCTAATCTATGGCTAGCTGACAAACAGCTCATTGACTATGGAACAGCAGGCAGCGGCCTTGTTTACATCGCCACACTCAAAGATGGCTTGAACTTGGATTCAGGATTATGACTCATACACTGAATATATCTCATAAAAGTTGAAACAAGGTCGTTAAAGCACGAGTATCAGTCGGTCATTTCATGTCATTCTGATATCAGAGGATGCTCCCATCTTCTCACAACCACTAAATATGTTTGTTTGTTTTTAAAAAGTAAATCAAATGTCTGCCTAAAACAATATTCTAGTTTGTTTTGGGAAGATTCTTCTCAGCTGTCTATAAATCTCATGTGATGACCTGCCTCACCCAGCCTAAATGAGCTGCTACTTTAGCCAAAACAAGCTCTCAATATGGATTTTACTGTAGTTGTACAATCCAGTTGTGAAAAATGCTATTTCATAAGCTTGTTATGCACTGACAAGATTAACATTCTGGAGGAAAACTAGAATATTACACAGTTTATGGTCAGGGTAGCTCAATAGATCACATTTAAAGATACTGAGTATTGGAACGAAATACTCAGAATCAGTCCCAAAATGCTATATGATCATATTATCCCTTTAAAACAATGTTCAGCCTGACCCTCATTCACAGCGCTTACCTTTGTTACTTTGAGCTTGGTAGAGCAGGAGCATCAGGTTTGAAGTCAGGGTGGAGATGAGACTGCACAGAGTCAGTCTTTGTTACAGAGGAAATGATGAAGCAGCTACGATAACTGTCTGGCAGACACAGTTAGGATAATCGCTGTTCGACACACTGTCACACTGTCTAGGGCGCAGCAAACATACAGACACATATCACGTTGGACACTGAGATGTGTTTGTAGACCGTTTCCAAGAAGTCTGTGCCACAGGCCAGCTGCCAACTAAATGGCTGTCAGAAGTGTTTGCAGGATTTCAACAGGTCCAGAAAAAGTGTCTTAAACTATGTTTAACTGAACATTGAGTATCAAAGCCCCTGAGTTTAGATCAAATAGGCCTTTGCATTCCATTTTTACTTCACTGTGTGTTATGTTACAGACACCTATAATATTCTGGTGACATTTTTTCCCATTTTTGCCTCTGTTGATTGCAAAAATAGGCTTATATTTGAATCTTGGCTGGCATTAAAAAGTATTCTGGCACCCTGGTTTCTCAGACATGGAATCCAACCAAGAGACACTCTTCGTTTTAGACCATTAAACTCACAGCAGCGAAAACAAATCCGTTAGACAAAATATGGAGTTACCGTGATCCATTTGGTTAGCACATTTCAGACATGGTATAAAGGGCTTTGTTCCCATTTCACTCTTGGGTTTTCTTTTTTCACATAATTAACCTTAAAAGCATTTAAAGAGTGTTGAGTTTGGGTGAGTAAATGAGTAATTAGCTTGGTGGTTACAGGTTCAATTCAGTTTCAGCATCCTGACAGTGTGCTGCAGAGCAAATAACTCATCCAGTGCTAAATTGGACATCATTTGCATAACAGACTAAATTGTGAGTGTGTGCTGCCATCCGGTGGCTTATTTTGGAACAACAGCAGCAGTATAACTCGCTCCACACACACAGGCGAGCCCACCCATACACACACACTCGCAGGAGGCAGATTAAGCTTTTAAGCCTGCAGATGAGAGAGGAGAGAGAGTGATTATTCACTTTTTTTTACCGCTTTCAATCCCACCTTCCTTCTTCGCTCTCTTTCTACATCCCTCTGTTCTCTCTGTCCTCCCTGCTGTCTTTCTGTCCATCTTTTCCTCCTTTCCTCTCCTACTTTTGACATCTTTGTCTCTCTGAATCTCCCTCTATATCCCACCATTTTATCCTCTTCTATTCATCTTCATTTTACTCTACATCTTCTCATCCCTCTCCCAAATTAAAATTCAAACAAGCTTTATTTGCATGACAGGAAGGAAATCTACTGTTGCGAAAGCAGTGGAACATTTTATGTGTGGATATTTCAGCCCGCGTACACTTGCATCATTAGATTTATGTAAAAGTGATTTATATTTTTGCGGAAAAAAGTTACAACAAAAAGGCGACACATTCCTGCATAATACATAATCTCTACACAATAATAAAGTCTTGGTATTTAGGGAAATGCACATTTCCAAATGTGGAGTATGTGGTATGTGGAGTGCAAAAGCAAGGAATGCTCTTCGTCTTCTATCGTGGATCTGCTGAGTCAAAGTGTTTATATAGCCTCTCTTGCTTTGTAAGCACTTTTATCTGTGCTGTCCCACCTCTATACTAACACTGGTCATTAAGACAATGAATTGTTATTGTTTCACTTCTTTAATTGCTCGATTTTAATCAGATATTGCGCCAGGATTGTGTCACTTTTGTTTACCAGGAATTCGGTAACAGTGTAGTTTGTCAGTGTAGATGTCAGCACATGTGAGTTTAGTTGTTGCAGGTCCACTGATTGAATATAGTTCTAATGTTCAGTCTGTTTAGCAGATCACTTTTTGGGTTGTATTATTTCTACCAAATTGTGGAAAGTCCTGTGAACTTCGAGTGATTTTATTGAATCAATTTTATCTTTTTTGGGGGTTTGGAAACCTCTTTCTAAAGAAAAGAAACTCCCTCAGTCACATTGTTAAATGGTCTAGTAGGCTGATTGGTGAGTCACAGCTTAACCCAGAATCCTTGTAGACCAGAGAGTTGCAGTGGATAACCTGCTTGATTTTAAATGACGATTCCCACCCTTTGCACAGTGAATTTCATCTTCCTTCTTCCGGACAGAGGTTATTGTCCCAAGATGTAGAACAAAGCCGTATAGCTTCATTCCAGCAGCTATCATTTAGATCAACGAGTTGTAGTAACGTGAACAGAGTTTTTCTCGTTTTAATCTGCATTTTTACCGTATTTATTCTACTGGTTATTTATCTTAGCATTTTGTTAATGATCTCTCTTTGTAAGTCGTATTTTTTGGAGCCTGGAGCACTTCTTCATTTATGTTTATCCTTTATCATGTTTGTATTATGTTTGTCTACTGTCTGAATTGTTTGTTGTTTTTATATTTTCGTCAAGACGAATGCCTTGTCTTTTACTAAATAGTAATCTTGAACCGTGTACCTTGAAAGTGCTCCTTTTTGACCCTTCTAGGCCCCAGTTTTGCTACCATAAAATAATTTCATTAACATAAGTTTAATTAACAGAAAACACAATACATAGTGCCTGAACTGGGATTGTCTATGACTTTGTTAAAGTATCTGGACCAATAATCAATTAGTTGATCAACAAATAATTTTATACTAATTTCATTGTTATTTATCAAGGAAAAATACAAAATATTTGCTTGTTTAAGCATTCTCTATTATAAATTGTACTATTATAGTTTACTCACTGTAAATTAAATATTTTTACAAGCTATTTTACCTTAAGCGTTTTCCCTATTTTTCACAATTAATCAAAAAAGAATAAATAGATTCGAATTAAAATAACTGTTATTCGCAGCCCAAAATCAAAGTAGGCACACTGGGCCATTTCTTCATGAAAACGTCTACTTCTTACAGCTGTCATGAAGCACAGGCATGTTTGCTTCAAGCCTGGTTCAGTAGTTGACAGTATTTACGGAGCCATCTGCAAAGGCTGAGCACACCTACCACAGGGGTTTTTCCAGCAGCCTTGGTTCGCAGAAGAAAGCTCCTAGTTTTAGTTCAGAAATTGTAATGGGATGTACAATATTTATCACATGTGTACTGTTGCATGTTAAATAACTGAGAATGATTCAAACTGGAGCAAAGGATATAAAAAGAGGTGGCTTGAAGTACTCGAAGACAACACAAAAGAGAAGACCTGAACCTTGATATATCAACTAAAACGTTTTCTCCAAGGTCACAAAATGAGTAACTGTGATTCACAAGACCTCCACCAAAACCTGGGAACAGAAAATCTGTAAATATTAGCTTTGCTCTGGGTGCCTAGTGATGTCAAACAATTAGAAATTTGTTTTTTTCTAATTACTCACAAAGTTAGATTAATGTTTGGTAACCTACACTACACCTACACTGCCCGTCAACAAATTGGTAAGAGCCTTCCATTGGATAATTACTGCAGTGATCAATATGTTTCAGCTGGCAACAAGTTATTTAACCCTAGCTCATTTATTAAACAACCATGTCGGAAGACATATCCTGTGATCACG